AAAGGTGCTGCCAGCATGAAAGAGGCACATTTCAAATCACTGCTTAAGAGAGTGGCATCCTCAGCACGAGACAGCCAAGCAGGATCCAAACACTGTTTCTGCCCTTTGGCAGATGAGAAAGTAGGTTTGCAGGCCTCGGGTTGCTCGGTTTGCTCAGGACAAGTTCTGTTGGCACTGATGGCTCAAGCAGCTGCCTGTGCCCACTCTTTCTTGAGCAGATGTGTGGACTTGAACAAGCTCTGTATCCTTTACATGAGAAATGTGGGGGACTGGCAGTGGGGTCTGGATCTTCTCATCCTGGTGTCACTGATGTTGGTGTGAGCCCAGGATGGGCAGGACCAGGTTGCTGTTGGTACCAATTTGCTCTGCTCTCCTCTTCAGTTGCTGACCAGTGGTCAGAGTTCATGGCCTGCAAGGGCTTACACCCTAAAAACCATCAGTCTCCTGCTCTTAGGTGCTCTTCCTACCCAAGGACTCAGGCTAAGGACTGGGCTCAGGCACCGACAGTGCCCCTTCACCTGAGATTTGGACCATCCAGCAAATGAGATCATCAGGAATTTCTCTAAAAGGAATAAACCACGACCTTTTACTCAAAATTTGGAGGTACCACATGTCCTTCTTGACACCGTGAAGAGCAGAATCTCAGAGGGGGATGCTTCTTGTTTTTGTAGTTCTGAAAATTGGACTGTCAGCTGCTGTGCTTTGCAAACCCAGAGTCGTAACAGTTGCTTTTGGAATCCTCATCTCACAATTATTTCCGAGCCTTTCCCAAATTTATTGAGCCTTAAAACATCTTGCCAAGCAGTTTCCAAATGACTATGGAATTTAGTGTCTTGTTTGTTTTAGGGAAAGTGCAATTTATAAAGTTTCAGTATTTCGCTAGATAAAAATTTATTTACAGAAAGAAAGAACCATTTTCTACCTCCTTCTACACCAGTTGACATTTTGGCTTTATCTTAGATATTAAAATAAAATAAAAATCTTAGCTTGTTCTTGTTTATTAAAAAGAAGGTCTATTACTATTTAAATACTTCAAAAAAGAATTTAAGAAAGGAAATAATAGCTTAACCTTAAAATTCATGAGGAACAGTAAAACCTGTTATTTATCTTTAGCTCTGGGGGTGGTTTAGGACCTACCTGGTTCTCTGCAATCCTGGAACTTTTGAGATGATTTAAGCTAGGGCAAAGTGATTAAAGAATAGGAGCTCAAGAAGAAAACATTTTAGACCTATTTTGCACACAGGAGTGAAAAAATTCTGGAGACCTGGGTCCTGTTTGCCTTGACAGGTTTCATTTATTCCCAAAATCAAACAGGACTCATCTGCCAGGTTACCAGGATTTGTAAGTGTCTGCTGCATCTGTGCCAGGTTCTCCCACTTGGAAAGGTGAAGAATTGGTCATAAATGGGCTCAGTTGCAGCAATTAAAAGTTGCCAAGGAGTTTGGGATGTCCACGAGCCAAGTACCTGTGGTCCTGCAGAAAAGCTGAGACATCTGAGTTCCTGTCAGTCTGCCTGCACTCAGGTTTAACTGTGGATGAGCCTGAGTTGATGGCTGTCCCCTGGCTGTCCCCTGGGTGCCCAGGGTGTCCCAGGGTGTGCTCTGGGTGCCAGTTATCTCCCACTGCCCAGGCAATGTCTCTGCTCCGACATCCAGCTTTGCTTTCACGAACCTGGCACCAGCTCCGCATGTTCCTGTGGGGAACGACCTTGTCTGGTGTTCCCTTAATTATAAACTCCACAGGGAAAAGGGAGATTTGCAATTATTAAGCCGAGTTCCCAAACTATTGGGAACTACACAGAGGCCGCAGAGCAGACTCAGCTCTGTTTTGAACCAGGTTAGTCTCCAGAGCTCGTCTCGCTGTAATATTGCTTAAAAACACAGCTGACTTAATTATGACATAGTTAACATTCATCTAGTAATTAATGAGTATTACAGTGTCTGCTCTGGGCCTGACAGGGTTCCTACTGTGAGCTCATTTGATGGTGGATTGTGCTGTACCGTGTGCTGTGCTTTGCCAGTCATCAGTCTTACGTGACACTTAAAAATCTCTGACAACCCGACAATCTCCGCCTGGGCCGAGGAAATTACAGGATGTCCCAGCACATGGGAACTGAACAGAAAGATTGGTCAGTTAAAATCCTCATAATGGCCTATTAAATTGTTTTACTGTTCAGCTTCTCTGTAAAATATCAATTATCTCAATGGTTGTAATGTAATCAAAGTAATTAAATTCCAAAGGGCTTGCATGTAAAAACCAGAGCTTTGTAAATGGGAATCCAGCCTCAAGTAGTTTAGTTGGTCTGTTTGTGTTTAAAAGTTTCTCCAGATGACTTTTTTTTTTTTTTTTTTTAATGGCGTGTTATAGTTAGGGAACTGTTAAAGGGGTTTGTGTGTTTGAGGTTTAGGGTGTGTTTTGAGCTTGGCTGCACACAGCATTTGAACAATTGAGTAAGCAAAGCCTGTGTCAGAGCCCAAGCACGGGGAACGCCGCACTTGCCGGATGAAAAGCCGGCTGTTCCGCAGCCGTGGGAAGCAGGGACAGCCTCTGCTCCAAGTCCTGCGCCTGGCCCCGTCTGCCTGAGTGTCCTCAGCTGATGGATAACTGCAGCTTACCCCTCCCTAAGTTCTGAGCAGTGTCTCAGGAGCACTTTCAGGTGTGGAACTTGAAAAGTATTCCCCTCGTAGGTTTATCATGGCCAGGATCTCGCCTCCGGTAATGTGTTTTACAAGAGGAGGAAAGAGCTAAGGAATGACTTATGACAAGAACATTCTCCCCGTTGTTCCTCCTGGTGTAGGGAGAGCTGCTCCTCCAGTAAGTTTCATTCTGGTTTGTTTCAGTAGAGCTTCTCCCTTAGATTTTGTCAGAACTGAATCAAATCCTGTTTTGTCAGGGGCAAAATTACTTTGCTTGCCATGACTTTCTGGAATTGTTGGTCATTTTGGGGTACACCATTTTCAGGTGTCCTAAAGGCTTCCAGTTTATAGAAGGTGCTAAACATCCACACCTGGAAAGTTGACTTTAGTAGGATTGAATAGCTGGATTTGCAGCGTTTTGAGGCATAGTCCAGGAAATGAAGTGACCTGATAGCCACCTTCCAGTACCTAAGGGGCCTAAAAAAAGATGGAGAAAGGCTATTTATGAGAGCCTGGAGTGACAGGAAAGGGAGGAATGGCTTCAAACTGCCAGATGGCAGGGTTAGATGGGATATTATGAAGAAATCCTTCCCTGTGAGGGTGGGGAGGCCCTGGCACAGGCTGCCCAGAGAAGCTGTGGCTGCTCCTGGATCCCTGGAAGTGTCCAAGGCCAGGTTGGACGGGGCTTGGAGCAACCTGGGAGAGTGGAAGGTGTCCCTGCCCATGGCAATGGGGGAGAATGAGGTGATCTTTGGGTCTTCCAACCTAAACCATTCTGTGATTCCATGAAATCTCCTGTAATTCATGGCAGACAATGTTCTGAAAGCAGCACCCCCAAGGTGTGTCTCTGTGCTTCCTGTAATCAACTTCCAGGGGCACAGACTCACCTCAAGGAGTATTTGTAACTGATTTAAAAAAGCAGTGAGATGGGTCTTTTATACCACTGCTGGATTTATAAGCCCTTGGAAACCTGCATGAAATGTAGTGGAGTGTTCCCTCACTGGAGGTAAGATCAGGGGGAAAAGGCTTTTCTTGCAAACTGAGATTATTATTATTTGCAAGACAGCACCAGTGTAAGTTTGGCTGTTTGAGACAAGAACTAGGCATGCACAGCCCCAAGGAGCAGATGGAGAGGAGATGTGAACCATGAAGCTGTTCGGAGGACACAGTGACTTGTTCTTTGTTGGAGCCCAAGCAGTCACTGGAGAAGAAATGACTGTTTGGGGAAGAATTGAAATATATTAACCTGTGTGCAGAGAAGTGTTGCTGTTTCTGTTTCTCTCAAATCACTAAAAAATACTGGGCTCGTGGCTCCAGTTGAGAAGTAGTTTCCATAGAGAAAGAGCTCATGGAGGCAGGGAGATGCAAAGAAAGTGTTAATGCCAGAGTGGAGGGTTAGGGAGCTAGGGAAACAAAAGGAAAATCCAGGAATGCTCATAATGTGCAACAGCCTTGGGGGATTTTTTTGTGTCTTCAGACAAAATTAGTGAAGGGAGTTTAGTCTGAGGGCCTCCTGGAAGCTCTCTGAAATCAGCACATAAGCTGCTCCTGCCTCAGTAAGCCCTGTGCTGTGTCCCAGGGAGAGCTGTGGAAATGTGGTGCTTCCACAGCTCCTTTTTAATTGTGAAAGTAGTTAATTGGTGTGAACAGAGTTACTTGATCAAACTACTTAAAAGTTTCTGCAGCTGGTTTGGAGAAGGAAGAAGTTCTCCATCTCCTGACACCTCATTAGCAGCTTCTGCCCGTTCTGCCGCCTGCCTGGGTCCGTGATGGAGCTTCTCCCATGCCAGGAGCAGTTCCCTCCCTCACACAGTGGGCAGGCAGAGAGCTTAGCCATGCTCCAGGCTCCCAGGGTGGTGGTGTGTCCCCAGGTCTCAGGAGGAGCAGCTTACCTTCCTTGCCTGGTGTCACTGAGCAGGGCTCCCTGTGTCTGGTCAGTGTGACACTGCTCTGCCCACTGGCTCTTCTCTTCTCTGGATGCACCAACTCAGGAAACCAGGGGCAGAATCAAGAGGCTTCCAAGAAAACAGTCTCTTGCCCAACTTTGCTTCATTCCCACCAGCTCCCTCAGCTAGAGACTGAGTTGGTGCAGAAACCAGTTAGCGATGGTTCGTTAGGAGGAGGTGACCTGCTGAAGTGCTTTGCAAATTGTGTTTCAAACGCAGACAACCCACCATGCACAACCCTGTGTGAATGCCCTTTAAACCAGAGGTTCCTTGTCTCATGGAGCTGCCCTGAGCAGTGCCACAGGTGCCACGTGTGTGTAGTGCTGGCACAAACAGCCCGTGACAGCCGAGTTCTGCGTGTGGCGCTCCTTGCAGGACCTTCTAACTCCTGATGTCCTTTCTCTCTGCCCCATCACAGGTGCTCTGCTGTTGGGAGGGATCCTTTACTCCTGGCAGTTCCCTCACTTCAACGCCCTGAGCTGGGGCCTGCGGGAGGATTACTCCAGAGGAGGATACTGTATGATGTCTGTCACCCACCCGGGGCTGTGCAGGAGGGTGGCTCTGCGCCACTGCTTGGCCTTAATCGGACTCTCCGTGGTGGCTCCTGTCCTCGACGTCACCACGTGGACTTTCCCCGTCATTTCGCTCCCCATCAACCTCTACATCTCCTACCTCGGCTTCCGCTTCTACAGGGATGCAGATCGCAGCAGCTCCAGGAAGCTCTTCTTCTGCAGCCTGTGGCACCTGCCAATGCTGCTGCTGGTCATGTTCACCTGCAAGAAGTCGGTCCTGGACAAGGAAGACAAAGGCGACGTGCTGGGAAAGGGGGAAAGTCACGGGAGGGCTATGGAAATTAGATTGCCTTAACTGTCGATTGTATGTTGTCCTCGTGGCACGTCAGGTAGTTTATTTTAGTGATTACTGTGGGGGATCCTGTGGGAATCTGTTTGAGGAAGAATCATTTGTGCCTAGCGGCCACTTCCTGCCATGAGTTTCTATTTTCTTTTGCGAGGGAGTAGCCAGGAGACCTCAAAGCCCTCGGGGGCCCCACGGCTATCACGTGCTAGAATTTCACCTGTGGCAGAAGCACATTGCTTTGGGGTGGCCTTCTGGAGTCCCTGTGGGCCGTGGTCCCTGTCCTGGTGGGTGGTTGGGTCAGTTAATGAGTCACATGCGCACACGTTCCACCGCCAGCACTGGCAGCCTCGGCGAAGCCGCCGGGCACCGACCCATGAATGATTTCTCACCCTGCTCCCCAAGCACCCTTTCCTTTGATTTAAGCTTTGAGGCACACACGGTGGGTTGGGGTTTTGTCTCAGTCCCCACCATCCCTGCACTGGTGTTGCACCAAAACCCTCACTTTCAGGGGCTTTGTTCAGTCAGTTGCTTTTCCCGAGGTTCCCGTTCGCCCCAGGAGATTTTTGGCTTGCATACAACTGGCACAGTGCTAAAGGGGTAAAGGAAACTGCCTCTCAGCGCACCACACACCAGCATTTAAACACCCTCCAGGTGAAAGCTCTGCTGTAGCACATCCCTTGAACACACTGAGCCATTCTACTGTACTTCCATCACGGGGAGCTTCTGGGTCCCACGTGGTTAGAGTTTGAATGCTGGGTGTCAGATCTTCAGCTGGTAAAAATCACCATTACTGTTTCTGGCAGTGAGGCTGTGAAAGGTGGAGGAGGTGGGAAGCAGGTCCCAGAGTCAGGTGGTTGTAAGGATTTTCCACGCTCAGGTGTCTTGTGCCAGCCCGTTCACTCTCGGCGTCCTCGGACAAGCTCTGGACTGGCATCAAGAGTTTGAGCTCTATTTAATGTCACACTGTGGTGGCTCAGAGAAAGGTTTCACTTTGAGGGTAATTAATAGGTAAGGAAACACATTTACAGAAAAAAGGTTGAGGATTTTAGCCTAATACCATAATGTTCACTTGCTGATGCAGCCTGTGTCTCTCCAAAGCAATTACTGTGGATGGTCTCCCGAGGAAAGTGCATTGTCTCTGCTATCTGATACACTGAAGAACATTTCTGGCCACAGTGCTTGTGGATCCTGCTGCAGGGCTGTGGCTCACCCTCAGCCTGCCTGGGGCTGGCTGTGACCTGCTGGGATGCTCCCAGCCACGGCAGCACCCAGGGCAGACAGAGGCGGTGAGAGTTTATTGTGGTAGTCAGTGCCTGTTACGACTTGATGTGTTTCCATGCCAAGATTTCTTTCCCACGTGGAAAGGGACTGGGCAGCAGGTTGAGCATCAATCCAAAGATACAGCAGCACCTGAAATGGGAGACACTGTCTCAAACCTGATCCCAAGTAAATTCCTTCAGGAAACATCACAAATCTGCCACCACAGGCATCTCACACTGGCACAAACCCTTCCCTGGCTGCTCTCGGGACCCAAGCCTGACTCTGGTCTGGGTTACACTGGTGTAAATCAGGAGTGACACGGTTTGACCTCTGCTGTGCTGGCAGAGGTGCTCTCAGGAGCAGGGCCACCCTGGTTTATGTGGCTCTTAAGAAATTGGCTGCAGGATTTGGTGACTCTGGGGTGATTGCAGATGACAGGCTGGAGTCCCCTCTCGCTGTCTGACAGGCTCTGTTGTGCTCAGGTTACTGTGGGCAGCACTTTGTGGAACTGTCTGGAAACTCCTGTGCAACTCCTGAATTTGTTTTAAAAATGCATTCAGTCTTCTCTGCAATAAAGTACAGACTGTACAACAGGGATGAACGCTCCAAATCTGTTTTACACTGTTCACTTCTGTTTGGAACTCTGGTCCAGTTCAGTTAATTGCAAAGGTATTTGGTAGTTCTGTGGCATTTCTCACAGCAGCATGTTCTTGGTCACTGCAAGAGCTTGTGAAACACTGATTTGTTGTGCAAGCAGCAACTGAAACCAAGTTGCATGTGAGTGGAAAGGGCTTGTACCAAACCAAAGAATTTGGTCAACCTTAAGCCGACAGAGGAACCTGTAAAGAGCAAATGGCTCACAGGAAAATTCACAGATTTTGCTCCCAGGGGCAGAAAGTGGTGCTGAAGCAGGAGGGTTGTGGTTTTCTCCTAAGTCATTCCAGAGCCAGCCTTCAGATGGCCTGCAAGTACCGGGTGCTGTCCTGAGGAATTCCATTCTGATTAAAGGTCCCAAGGACATGCCTGTGGTTGAGCTTGTAAGAACAGTCATCTTCATTTCTAGGGCCAAAATGTGTAACATTCACAGGGTTTAGGGCTAGACAGGAGCTTTGTAATCATCACTGAGTGTCTGCAAAATGCAGGTCACTGGGCTGCACCATCTCCACACCCAGTGGGTCTGGCCTGGAAAGAAAGCATGGCTTTAGAATCAGTGGATCTGGGGTTTAAAAGTAAGAAACAGTCAATAAAATAAGCTTTTTTTTGTTTTGCCTAGGAGGTGTTCCCTCATCTGCTACAAACTGGCCATAAACAAATGAAGCCATCTACTGCCATTTTACTGCCTTTTGGGAGTGTTGCAGTTGCCTGTGCTTTGGAAATAAACACCTTGCCAAACTGAAGCCTTTTTTTTGCAAATGGACAGTGCAGCAGGTGCTCTCAGGTCTCCTTTTCAATATTGCTGTTGCCGCTGTGGAAATTAAAAATCCTGAACTGTCTGCCCTCATCCAGGGGTGTTTGTGGTCCCTGTGAGGATTAATGCCAGCCTTCCCCCCTCCAGCACTGCTGATATTGCTGCTCAAATTCTGCAGGGAAAAGGGCCCTGGGTCTGCTGAGGGGGTCCCATCTCGGTGCTGCTCCCACAACAGACAGCTCTGCACCACCAGGAGCTGGACCAGAGCTCACGTAGGAATCTGGGCCAGGGGCTCAAGAGGATGAAGCTGGTTTTAGTCTCTTTGGACTTTAAACCTTTTGTGTGGTTTTGTGGATAAAACAGTAGCCCTGGGGCTCAGGGGATCTTCATTCTTTCCAGACCTCTGCAGAAGAAATGCTCTCCAGCTGTAAAATAGGGATGGAGGAACTTCACCTTGCTGGAGGAGGGAACAGCTCGTGGCTGTGTCAGCCCTGGCCCGTTGTTCTCTCCATCAGTGCAGGGTGAGTGCTGGGTCAGGCTTTAGGGAGCCTTGCAGGGAGCTGGCACTGGGTTCCCCCACATCCCTGCTTTGCCCTCACCTTCAGCAGATCACTGAGCACAGCTCTGACCTCACAGAGTGACACAACTGAGAGTTGTCCTGAGCTCTCTCGAGTTTGCAGGGAGCCCCCAGGTCCCCTGTGAGCTCACACACAGTACCCTGGCACTGCTGGCATCCCAGTGCCCCTGGCACTGCTGGCATCCCAGTGCCCTGGCACTGCTGGCATCCCAGTACCCCTGGCACTGCTGGCATCCCAGCACAGCAGCAGTTGGTGTGGCTCTGCTCTCTGTTCCAGCATGAATGAGGAAACCCAATCCCAGTGCTCACGGCACTTTTCCCTCTCGTTTCCCCCACTGAGGGTTTTTTTTTTTCTCACTTCCTGTATCAGTCTCCGATACAATCTGCCCCAGCAGAGTCACACATTCACACTCTCCTGGCTCCAGCAGCGTTTCCCACTCAGCCAGGCCACGGCACTTCAAGGCTTACACAAAACACACACGTCCTTTTCAGTTCTGACCATCCCAGGAGAGTAGGAATGGAAACAAGAGTGATACTATTAGAAATCATTATCATTACAGATAGAAAGCATGTTGTCCTGGTTGCTCTCCAGAGGTGATTAGATATTCCCTCTTCCTTGGAAATGCAGGCTGTCTGCAGAACACTTGGCTATTAAAACAGAAATATCAGCACTGTTTCCCTCCCGAGCAGCTCTGCTGGAGGTGGTAATACTAGACAGGCTGTCCCCAGTGGCATTTCTAATCATGGAATTTCTTGACCAGGCAAAAAGCCAGCCCAGTCAAGGGCTCATGGGATGCAGGATGCCACTTGTGCTGCCCGTGGGACCTTGAGTTGGTTGTTTTGCCTCTCGGAGCTGCTGTTTCTTCTCGCAGTCCTGGCAAGGTCAGTGCTGCAGGGCAGGGCTTGGCCCCTGTGGGTGCACATCTGGCACTTGGCCCTGCCCAAGACAAGTTAAACTCTGGTTTTAATGTTCATCATCTCCCAAACAATGTGGTGTTAATTTGGAGTCAGAGGTGACAGCTGAGTGGTCAGAAGTGTCACTGGTGAGGACGCTCCTCTGTGAGATCCCTCAGACTGTGCCTTGCTGGGTGGTTCCCTCCATGTGTTTTAGTGCCCTCTGAAATAAATGTACTACAGGTTTCTAGGACTTTGGCATGAGATCTAGCAAGCTTTGGAGCTGCTTCCCAAACCCTTCTGTTCACAGAATCATAGAATAGTCAGGGTTGGAAAGGACCCCTGGGGATCCCCCAGCCCAACCCCCCTGCCTAGGCAGGGTCACCTGGAGCAGGTGACACAGGAACACCTCCAGGTGGGGTTGGAATATCTCCAGAGAGGAGACTCCAGGCCCTCCCTAAGGAGCTATTCCAGGGCTCTGCCACCTCCGTGGTAAGAAGTTCATCCTCACGTTGAGGTGACTCTTGCTGTGTCTTAGTTTATGGCCATTGCCCCTCGTCCTGTCACTGGGCACCACTGACAAGTCTGGCACCGTCCTCTGACACCCACCTTGGAGATGTTTGTATGGATTGATGAGATCCTCTCTCATCTGCTCTTCTCCAGACTAACCAGGCCCAGCTCCTGCAGTCTCTCCTCATCAGAGAGATGCTCTGGTCCCTTAATCACCTTTGTGGCTTCCACTGGTCACATTCTCCCTGACTCAAAGGAAAGGAGGCCAGTTGAGCAGGGCATGTGTAAGGTGTCCCAAAGCCATTGAAAACACTGGCAGAGTAACACATTTCGAAGAGCTGGCAGGAGCACCTCTCATCAGCTCCACCTCACACACTGTCTGTCACCTCTGCTTTTCTGCTTCCAGACTTTAACTGTTTGCACTGAAGATTTTCCAGCCTGGGTCGGTGCCTCGGGCTGGGATTTAGTTTCCAGTGTTCCAAAAAGGCACAGTTCAACTGTTTCACAGAGCAGGGTTGGCAGAACGAGCTGTTTTCCCACAATGTGGAGATGTTTTTCCTCCTGCTCCCAACCAGTTCTGGCACCCCCAGGCCTTGGAGCGAGAACTGAGGGTTTGGCAGTGGGCTCAGGTTGGTGCATTCATGCGTTCTGGGAAGGTACTGGGCGTTACCCCAGTCCCTGAAAGGTCACAGCTCCCAAACTGCTGACACCTCCAAAGAGATGCTCTGAGTGTGGTGGGCCTGGACCATCCCGAGGAGCTGGTGAGAAGCTGCTGTCACAGTTCCTGTGCTTTGGAGAGCACACCTCTGAAAAGAGGTGCTAGAAAGGAGGGTGCCTGGTCCTCACCACTAGTGCTGGAACCATTGCCCTGCATCCATACCTGTATTCCCATTTTTCCAGGAGCCCTTCTTCAGTCCTGCCCATGGAGTGAGGCAGACTGTGGTACCCAGAGGTTTCCATGTGTCTCCAATGTGTGGGTGGCCCCAGGGACTGGGGCAGTTCAGTGGTTGTGGCTTTTCCCCTGGTTTCACTGTCCCAGACACATCCCAAGGTCCTTTCTGCCCCCTGCTCCCCTTTTTAACAACTCCTATTTCAACTACAGCTTCTCTTTGGTACATTTTTTCATGGAGTATGTGCTATAACATACATCGCCTGTGCCCTCGGAACTGCAGCTGCAGCTGGGCTGTCTGTTCTTCAAGAGAAACACAAACTTTGGGGAATTTCCCCCAGGGGATTGGGAACAGCAGGGCTCTGATCTCCCACACTGCCCAAACTGTCCCTAACTGAGACCCCTGGGGACATCTTGACCATCTTGCTCATCCAGAAAGCCAGAAGGTGGAAAAGCAGGGGGAGGCATCCCTGCAGGTGGGGTGGGGAGAGGGCAGAGCACAGAGCTCCCGGCCAGACAGGATGGGCTCCATCACCAATCCTCTCCTCCCCCGGTGCAGGATGCAGACACACAAGGCATTTACAAGGAAGTGTCTGGCACAGGGACCTGCCTTTTGTTTTCTGAGCAAGGAGAAAGATGAAGATTTGTGCGACTGGGAGATGTTTGGGATTTTTTTTATTACTTTTTTTTTTTTTTTTTTTTGGCCGGGGAGAGGAGGCACTGTATCAAATTAAACTTGAAACGGAGATGCAAACGAGGTGATTAAGGCGTTTCCGCCGTGCTTCCAAGGGAGCTGCTGGACGGCATCCAGAGCGGGGAAGGGAACAGCCCGAGTTTATCAGCTGAGCTCCCAGGTTCGTAGGGACACTCGCGCTGCAGAACCGCCAGGGGCTGGGTGAGCGACGCTCTTGGCACTGAATCACTCCCAGCAGCACCGAAGGGACACCGAGGGATGCCGAGGGGAGACGGGATGCCCGGGGCCACGTAGTCACCCAGCAGCAGAGGGGAATAATATTTAGATCTCTTCTCCCCAGTCTGATGCTCCTGGCCTGCTTGTTCCATACATTGCCTTGGCTTTCCCCGGGAGTAAGGACTGGCAGGAGCTGGGAATACAGTGGGAGTGAGGCTGATTAACCCTCCTCGCCTCACAAATGAGCAGTGGGAAGAGTGCAGAGGAAGCATCTGCAGGCAGATGTTCCCACGGTGTCTGTGCCCTGTGCTCCTCACCCGCAGCTCTGCACAGGGTGCAGGTCCGTCCCCGGGCCGGGCAGTGCTTCCAGGGCTGCCAACAGATGACACCACCAGCCCTTTGCATCCTTGTCTGTGGCGGGGACTGCGGGCAGGCCGCGCTGGACGGACGGACGGACAGAGCGGGATGTGCGGGCTGTGCCTCGCTCGGCCGGGAACTCCCTCTGTTGACTCCTCCTGAAGTTGCACCCCTCCATCCAGCGGTGTCCCTGGCTCTGGTAATAAATAGCACCTTCCGTAATGTCTGTAGCCCTCACTAAACCACAGACCGGACTGATTATTGCTGCTTTTGTAGCCTTTACAGAGCTGTTTTTATTTATAATTGCACCCCGCTGGTGTGTTCATAATGATTTTCCCGGCTGCGTCCCATGCGGTCCAGGGCTACAAAGCCACATTTTCATAGTAGCTGTTGTTGGTTTTAATCACTTGTTATTCGGATGATGTATTAATAGCAGTATCTCTGTGAAGCTTGAGAGTGTTTTCTTTTTCAAAACGTTTACAATAAAAGCTAAGTGTTAGCCCTAATAAAACACGTGTTTCCTTTGGCTCCCTCCTCCAGCGATGAATCCAATTAGCCGAGCGCTCCGAGCAGAGCCCGTCTCGCCCCGTCCCGTCCCGTCCCGCCCCAGAGCCTCCCCTGAACCTCTGATTTAAAGGTGTTTGGGACCCCAGCGGGAACAGGGGCGCTTGAAAGGCCCCTCGTGGTCGGAGGGGTGTGAGTTTGTAATTGCCCATGTGCAGACTGGGGGAGCCTCTAATAATGCAAACCGTGCTTTGCAGATGTTTGTTCGCGCCTCGTGATTCTCCTAAAACCCAAATAACCCGTCACACCTTGTTTCCCGGAGAGGGAGGGCGATGAGGGTGGGTGGGTTGATGCTCTTGGGGTGAGAAACCACTGGTGGAAACAGAAATGAACCCAGGTCTGTCACCTCCTGAGCATCCTGAGCCTGGGGGCGGGGAGGAGTGGGGTGATGCTCCTTGTTTTAGCCATTTACGGGGGGAAAACTCCCCCAC